GACAGTCATACTGAAAATCGTCACTTGACACTTCAATGGGTCTTCCTTCTTTCGCAAACCACAGCTCATCTCTCGAATAATCATGACACTGCAATTGAGCTGAGCAAGAATTCTTGACAGTCCGGTTGTTCTGTCATAGAACTGTCAATTGACAACCGACCTTTACTCTTCTCTTCACTTTTTGGCAGGGTAGGGCACTCATAAATAGAGAGGATGGATTCTGGGACTGAACATGGATGGATTCATGTATTTATAGTGAATAAAACAATGGCATATCAGCCAGGCTTTTGCATTCCATGGGTTGGGTGATGTGTGTCAGTGTCAGCATCTGAGTGATATGATCATACATTCCAACTGAGCCGCACTGCCTGTGCCTTCTATGAGATGGTTGAAGATCACATGCTGGACCCTGACTGGTATGTAATACAATGTCTGTTGAGATCTCTAGATTTTAATCGATGAATTCCATTGTTTCACTCTTTCCTCTCGTACATTTCACATGATTTTGTCTAAAGTATCATGGATGAGAGGCCCCTGAGGTTTCTGCTGGTGTGTCACCCGCCCCGCTCCCCGCTGGTCCCTGCCGATCCCGCTACTGCTGTGGCAGACCCATTTCACGGGTTCCACAATCTTCCAGCAGACTGTTCTTATCTCAGTCATCATCTACCGATAGCGACTTTTGCAGAGTTTCAGCGCAGACGAATCTCTCATGCATTGAGACATATTTGATGAGCCTTCAGAATGAGGGCCTCAATATCTTGGATGAGGCTAGCAGCGCCGCCGCGGACCACTGTCTCGCTGGCATCAAAAACGTGGGGGCCACAAGCAGCTGTACTGAGCAGGGTGGGCGGAGGACGAGAGTCGCACAGGAAGCTGTCATACAACCGGCCGACGCGGTCCTCAGTGTCACTAAGACGACTTGATGGCAATGCTCTAGGTGTCGCCCGTGATTTCAGCACCAAGAGGCCGTCACCGGAGACGGCAGAGCCTCCGTCGTTCGCTTTCGCGTTTGAGTGAGTAATAGCTCACTGAACCCCTTATGTCGCAGTGTGAAGTCATGGGCTGTTTATATCTCTATTGAACCTACACGAGTGGTTTGCAGCATGCGAGTCTTGGACTCTTCGTGCCACACTATATTTCGACTCCGTCTCTAAGTTCGTCTTCCTTCCGATCAAAGCTAATATCTGCCACAGCATCGATGGTGTCCTCCTGCATGTCGCTAAGCCGATTCCTGGCGCGACTGAGTCTCTACAATATCTACAGGACCACAACATCCCATTCATCCTCTTAACCAATGGCGGTGGCAAGCATGAGTCCGAGCGCGTGGCCGATCTATCATCCAAGCTCGGTGTGTCGCTCACCACGGACAACTTCGTCCAGTCGCATACGCCTTTCCAGGAGTTGACCACCAAGTTGACCGACAAGACCATCTTCGTCACGGGCTCCAACGCTGACAAAGCCCGGACAATCGCGCAGAGCTACGGCTTCAAGTCCGTCGTCACGCCCGCCGACATCCTCATGGCATATCCGGATGTGTGGCCGTTCGACCCGCTGATGAAGGAGGTCTACGCCAAGACGGCGCAGCCCCTCCCCAAGCCGATCTACCAGCCGGGCACGGGGATGAAGGAGGAGGAAGCGCTCAAGATTGATGCCATGTTCGTGTTCAACGATCCGCGCGACTGGGCGCTCGACATCCAGCTCATCTCCGACATGTTGCTTTCGCGCCAGGGGTATCTGGGTACATACTCGACCAAGAACGGCGATGCGTCGCTGAAGAATGGCGGATGGCAGCAGGACGGCCAGCCGGCGCTCTTCTTCAGTAACGCAGATCTCCTGTGGAGCACGGGCTACCACCTCCCGCGCTTCGGGCAGGGCGCATTCCAGGCGGCCGTTGCCGGCGTGTGGAGCCGGGTCACGGGCGGGAAGCACGAGCTGGTCCGGACAAGCATCGGCAAGCCTTACAGCAGCACGTACAGCTATGCGGAGCGCGTGCTCAACGCCTACCGGAAGGACATCCTGGCCAAGCAAGGCCACGACGCGAGTCGGGTCGGGGCCCTAGGCGCCGTGTACATGGTCGGCGACAACCCGGAAAGCGACATTGCGGGCGCCAATGACTTCCGCAGCGACGACGGGACGGAGTGGTACTCGATCTTGGTGCGCACTGGGGTCTGGAGTCCAGAACGAGGCGAGATGCTGCATGAGCCAAAGGTGATTGTTGATGATGTCAAGGCGGCTGTACAGTGGGCGCTGGAAAGAGAGAAATGGAGAGGAGGCCAGTAGATCGAAGCCAGCGTCGTATAGACCGTTAATGTCACCTATATAGATTAATTGAAGGCATGGCCCTCATTATTTGTATTACACCTCTAGATCTGTGGTACATCATGGACTTCGCCAAATCACTAGTAGTTAACGATCTTGAGTCGACTCTGTAGCTCTTCAGGCAACTCCTCCTTCTTGATCAAGCCCATTGCAACACAGTCTCCCCAGAAAAAGAACGCCCGCTCCTGGGCGTAGCCAAGGTAGTCGAATTCGGGTTCTTCCTCTTCGGTCGTGTTGACAGCAGCACCAGGCTCCTCAGCAGTCACCTCCTCGGCGAATCCAGACTCGTCTGCGCCGTCGAATCCTGGGATCTTGGCCTGGACAATACCCCACGCCACCCACTGCGCACTGTTGGCGATTTGCCACAGCAGGGTCTCGTCCAGCAATTCTTTCACGCGTGCCTCGGCCTGGTCCTGCTGTCGCTTCTCTTCTTCCTTCCAGCCGCCGGGCGGTACGCGTGCGTCGAGCATGAACTCGACGATGGAGCTTGACGATGCAGCGGTGTGCAGCGTTGGCGTCGCAAGTGGAGTCAGGTTGGGAGTCGAATTAGAGTGAGGGAATTGCGGACGGTGGTCGACGTAGGCCTTGATGAAGCGATGCCGTTGCTCAAGAGTCGGATATCGAGTCGTATCGCATGCCCATGGTGCAACGGGATTATGATAGTTGTACGTCCACTCCGTGAAGTGATTCGCAAACTCTAGGCCCGGGCAATTAGCGGATGCGTACTCGAAGTCGATAACGACAAGCTGCTTGTGCTCGTTGGCAGGCTGCATCAGTGGCGACTTCTCGTCGTCGGGTCGGAGCCGCAGAATGTTGCCGTATTGCGCCTTGAAACCAATGGGTTAGTCTGGTAAGATCTCAAGGTATCAAGAGGTAACTTACATCATTATGAGCAAATACTAGCCGTTCGCGTATTGCTTTCCGGCCGCCGTACTGCTCCTCTACGAACTTGCGATATTTTTCCACCATACCCTTGAACACATGCCATTCGACGCCACAAATCAACCCTCTAGTTTTCCATGCGTCATCAGGTCCACGGACCGGGCCAAGTTTCCCAGAAATCATACGTTCGTCAAGGGCTGTGATTCTCTCTTCTGCGCTCTTAAGCCACTTGTCCCAGTTTTTCCAGACCGCAGGTCCTTCGTCTTTCTCGTTCTCCAGAAGCTCGATTCCATCGTGCAACTCCCGCATACGCTTCGCAATTTGCTTTGAAGTCTCTGGCTCCCTGATGTCTGAGGCGGTCAAAGTCGTAGAGTTGAAGAACTGCTCAAACCGACCGTTCGTGAATGTTCCCAGCAGTCTGGGTCCAATCTTCTTCCTTGCTAACCGTCGTAAGACACCAAGCTCAGTCTCTCGGTCAATGAGGTGCTCCACTTGAGGACCATATACTCGGAGCAGTAGCTTTGGAGGAGCCTTTTTGCCATCTGCGGTGCTTTGCTTGACTACATCGGCAGGAGGGGAGACGACATACACAGCGTTGGTTAAAGCTCCGCTGAGACGTTCGACCGATATCTGTTCACCACTGTCCAGAGACACCCGCCTCCATCCTTTCAGTCTCAGCGTATGTGCGAGACGGATGATCTCGTTCTTGAAAACGACCCAGGCCTGCTTGTCCTTGTCTTCTCGTCGGCTGGAAATCGAGACCGCGTCGCTTGAAACCGCCTGTCCGCCACTGTAGTTCATAGTCTTGGAGTTGTCAAGAACAGCATCTGTGCTCGGTACAACCACGTCCCCATCGACATACTCCGTGTCGGATGACTGCATACGTGACGACACCAATGATGGCCTGTGATGATGTTTCCTCAACCTGCCAGATAATCGACGTCCTAGTCTCGGACTATAATGCGGAATCTCTTTGAGCCCCAAAGCAGCCATACTGTCGTCGAGAATGCGCTGAAGACGGTCAAGGGACACTTCACTAGACTGCGAGCTGATCGATGCAGATCTATGGTGCCCCACCGGTGGCTCTTCTGCCTTTGCAGACTCTTCTGCAGGCGGTGACTTGGACTTTCGTCGAGAGTGATAGTGGTGCTTCTTAGGCTTCCTGGTTTCTCTCTTGGTCTTCTCGTGCTGGATCCACTCGGCAACTTGAGCCAGGAGTCTTTGGGATGCATGATCAATGCGATGGCGCGAGTGGTGCGATTGTAGCTGATCTGTGCTCTCTGAAGCATGAGATGGCGAGGCAGTAGCCAGAGTCTCACTGAGTGCTTCTAGGCTGCCTTGACTCAGGATTGAAGCTCGCGAAGAGCTTGGGGATGACATGGGAGGTCTGCCACTGAGCCTCTTTGCGAGGCTCGCGGGGAATTGCTTCTTGGGAAGAGGCTCCTCAGGTGGCGTAGGTTCTGGCTCTGCGATTTGCACAGCTATTTATCAGTTAGTGATTGAGTCAAAGTGGTCTATGAGTTTGATGCATGAGTGTGAATCAGTACATAGGCCAGCACAACAGCTTGTAATGCCATAATACAGACAGTGACTGACTATCCTCCCTCGGCTCTAATATTGTCAATATGAGTCCGTTAGTCACACTTCCCCAGCCAGTCATTCTCTGATTTACAAGAACTCATGAGCCTATTCCTTTGACGGTTGGGAAAATATAGGACCGGAAGAACGCAAGCACACCGCCAGAGTGCCTGAATGGTTGGTCATGGGAATTACCAAATGGATGGACAAACAAACCTTTGCCTCCACCGCTCAAGGGTGGTGTTCTGGTGGCTTCATCATCGGTCTTCATTGCAGACCGCAACGGCGTGCCTGAGCTCGCCGGTGTTGGAGGAGACATCGTGACGGCGGGTCGATTGGCTCTCAGGACAGCACTGGGCCGGTACGACGAGTCTTCTCGGATCTACCTTTACTCCCAGTAGTATGTTCTTTTGGTAGGTTTGTGCGTATTGGTGTGGGTGGTAAAGCGTCTTTGGTGAAGAGAGTATTGAACAGAGACAAGAGAAGAGGTCAGAGATAAGGGTCCAGGGAGGTTGTGGATATTGTACGAAACAGGAAATAAGGTTGGGACGAGTACATAGCCGCAGGACAAGACCCTTATCTAACCGTAGCAAGTACGTAGGCAGTCTTATCCCTACCTCAACTCAGCTGAAGTGCCCAGTAAGATCGTCCTCTCAGGTCAGGAATGCCTGCATTGGGCGGGTGCATGAGGAGAGCCACAGCCAGGCGCACACACCAGAATATGCTTGCTTGGTTTTGTGTGGGTGGTGGGGTGCGCTGGGCTCCCTGCACTCGCCACAAATTCCCGCGGTTGGGCCCGTCAAGGTTGTGACGTAACCCCTAGCTTAGCGCTGGACACGCCGCTGGATACGCATCCGTCCCCTTGGGCCAGCTTATCATCGTCCAAGGAAATCCAGTTTTCATGACCTCGTGACGGCGGCTCTCGGTCTGGAATTTGGTTGTTACAGCCGGGGCCCTTGGCATGAATGGACTTTGCGCATGGTGCAGACTTGTCCCGTATGACGAGGTATGAAATAATTCAGGTACAAGCGAGGCCGTGTTATGAGGAACCAATGCCCTGTGAGACAGGTGCCATGGCATCTATTTACCCCTGCGATTGAGAGCCCTACAGAGCGGGACTGAGGTAACACTTAATCATGCAAGGCTGATCATAACAGCAGACCGCCAATGCGAAGTTGCGTGTCTGAGTGGCTTGTAATTTTGTCTATGGCCAGTTTCATAGTCCATATCCTTCCTTCATTGGCCAAAGTAGAGGTTATACAACTGTTGTACAGCTAGAGTACAGCACAAGATCTTTTGAGAGGAGAGCCAGCATTCGGCGCAATACATCACTCCGTCTTCCAATTGCCCTTCCAGTCCTTCATGTGATCCAGGATTGCCTTAGCACCTTGCTGCGGAGAATGTTGTCGCCCCAGTGCCTCGACGAAATCACCCTCAGGGTCCATCAGGTAGAAGTAGATACTGTGGTCCACCAGGTAATCCTGTCCCGGTTTTACTTCTTTTGGCGTACTGAAGTACACTCGATATGCCTTACACATTGCCTTGATCTGCTCGTAGGTGCCCGTCAATCCGATGAACTTGGGATGGAACTCATTAAGGTACTCTTTCATCTCTTTCGGTGTGTCTCGCGCCGGATCGCATGTAATGAAGACGCCGTTCAGGGCACCAGGCCTCTCCTTCTCCACCAGATCGAACATCGTCGCCATCTTGTCGAGCTCTTCGGGGCAGATATCGGGGCAGTGTGTGAAGCCAAAGTACATCTGATTCGCACATCATATTAGCTCGAGCTCCACCACCATAGCACGTAGGACCATCAACGTACCAAAGAGTATCTTCCCTTCAGGTCCTGGTCAGTCACCGTCTTCCCATTCTGATCAATCAGGTCGAACGCCCCTCCAACTTTCGGTCGGCCAACTCCCTTGGTAGCCTCAGCCACTCGCTTGCGCTGCATGCGCTCTTTCTCGTGCTCAAAGTACCACAGGAGGCCTGCGCCGGTTAGGACGAAGAGGACACCGGCTCTCCAGGAAAACGGCTGTGATCGTAAATGTCAGCCGGCGCTCAGTGGCCTGTTTCGGGTGATAGTATCCATACTCCTGACCGATATCGACTTTTTGCCTCCTCAACTGTTTTGTATCTAAATCGCTTCTGCACCAAGGGCTGGTGTCGCTGTAGCTCGCATGCTCGCGGAGCTGCCGGTCGCCTTGCGGGTGAGCTCTGGGTGGAGGACAGGAATCGATGACATTGTCGAGACTCGAGGTTCCCAAGAGTCTTGAGGAAGGACTTCGACGGCGCAAGTGATCGCGACATCTTTGGCTCCTAGGTTTGGCTGGTCAAGTCAAATTGACAATAATTGGGATGGAGTGTCGAGCTCTAGAAATCTCATGAGACTGAAAGAGCTATACAATCAAATAAGTTGCGCTAACCGCTAACCGGATTAACTCCGATAACCTACAGGGGGTTAATCCGGACCGCAGATTTTAGCGCTGTTGACCCCTGCTCACTCAACTCCCTTAACTCATGTGAAGGCTGCAAGAGAATACACCAAGAATACTTGGTGTGAAAAGAATTCTTATCATGAGTATCTAAGAACTCATATATCTGATCCTTTGTGGGCTTTGTTGATTGCATTGCTGTCGAGTCAGGATTTCTGCGTGGCTTGGCAATTCATGGAACCATACTCAGATGCCTATTTCACAGAGCAGCCCGGCATGGAAGACTCAAAGGCGGCGGATGGCGGCATCGTCAATGGTGGCAAGATAATCAAAAAAGAGGCCAACGAGGACAGTGATAGGATGGATCTCATGGAAGATGATGCCCCACCTCCACCAAAACTTGGAACCTCTCACTTCTCAAATCCGTTTGCTCCATCAAGTCCAGACAGGGCCAAGCAAACCATCGAGGAAGACGTTGAGATGGTCGATTCTACGACTGGTCCCAAGACCAAGAAGAAGGGCACTGCCGCCCTGGTGAAGAAGCGCAAGTCTGGCAGCAAGAAGGCTGCCAAGGCTGCGAGGAAAGGCTCGACGGCTTCGGCGTCCGCTGCGAAGGCCGCGAGCTCAGCAGCAGGGGATAGCGATGACGGCTCCGACGCAGACGAGGAGTCAGATCATGGCCCCTACTGCATTTGCCGTGGGCCAGACGACCACCGGTGGATGATCGGGTGCGATGTCTGTGAGGACTGGTTTCACGGTGACTGCGTCAATCTTGATAAGACGATTGGCGAGACACTCATCCAACGCTACGTCTGTCCTAACTGCACCGACGGCAAAAGGAACATGACACGATACAAGAAGACCTGCTCTCTCGAGGGCTGCAAGAACGTTGCACGCGTCTATAATGCTGCGGAACCCAGCGTCTTTTGCAGTGACAGGCATGCAGAGGAGTGGTGGGAGCAGCTCGTCGCCAGTCTCCCGCGCGATCGCGATTCCAATAAGAAGAATGACGGCCTCACGCGAGAGCAGTTCATGGGACTTCTTAACAAAGCACCTACCAAACCGTCTGGAGATCAAGGATCGACTTGGAAGTTGGGCGATGCTCCATTCGGTATGCTCTTTAAATTCTCAGGTTTCCTTTCACCCTCACATCAAGTCTTGCTCACCACATCTCTAGGCGTACCTCCCGACTTCTGGAGTCGACCTGAGGCAAACTCCGCCCTAACAGAAGAGGAGTCCTCCTTCCTCAACGCATCTGCGACAGAGCGCTACATGCTCGCGGAGGAGATCGTCCTCAACAAGAAGATGCAACAGCTCCTCGACATGGCCAGCGACCGCCGCAAAGCCGCCATCTCGGCCGGCAAGCTCGAGTCCGACGGGTGCGGCTACGACGTGCGGCTCGACGTGGTCGGCGCGCCCGCGCAGTTCGCCGCCTTCCTGCAGAGCCCGCGCGGCGAGGCCATCTTCAAGGCGGGCAAGCTGGACGTCGACCTGCCGCACCTGGCGGCGAGCGGCCGCGACGCCAGCTTCGGCAAGGCCGCCGACAGCAAGGACGACTACAAGGCGCTCGACCACCCGCTGACGGCGGGCATGTGCGAGAAGCGCCGCTGCAAGCCGCACGCCGGCTGGCACGCGCTGTTCACCAAGGGCTGCCGCCACAGCATTAAGGAGCTGGCGGCGCAGGCCAAGGAGAAGCTCGACGCCGAGACGCGCGTGCGCGACGCCGCTGCCACGCGCTTCTACCGCAAGAAGCGCGAGCAGAACCACGTCGAGGTCATTGGGAGCGATGACAGCGACCGGGACATGATGGATTGAGGTACTACCTGGCTCGGGATGTGAGCATGTCATCCCCTGCACTCTTTCTCTACAACTGTGTGTATTCTTCAGCATGGACCGGCGGACTGACGGAGGGGCGGCATGATTTCCAAGCAGTGGCGTTCAGGAAGGCAAATGTTGTATGATTGGAACGAAGTCTAAGGTCAAAACTCGGACAGCTAGATAGGCTCGGGATTCTGTGCCCATGTGGCATACAAGACCCCATAACTTTTCACTCAACCTGTGCAGAAGTACTTCTCATCATAAATCGTACAATTCATATCTGAATCTAAAGGAGGCACCCGAGGTTACTCTCACAAGGGGCGTCTAACTAATAGCCCGTGAAGAGGTCGCATTTAGAGAACCCTGTGCATATCGAGGCATAAATGATTGGGCTCCTGCCTACGATCCCTTCGTCCGACTCCCAGACTTCGTCAAGCAGAATATATTTCCAAGCCGGTATAGCGGGGCGTGCCGTGAAGAGCCAGTTCGATGACTAGTTGTAACAAACTTGCTAAATATGGTGGGCAGAAAAAAAAGGTACAATATAATAATACTCCAGATCATTCCAATATCCAAAACACAAACATCCCAACAGTTCAATTTTTGTTTTCGGGGGTATTCTCAAAGGCTCGTGCCAGAATTGATGCGCGACGGGGATATCGATTGCTGAGAAAGTAGAATGGCAATGACACATGAAAAGAAGCCGCCGGCCCTGATACAGACAGATATAAAACGCAAAGAATATCTGCAAAGTATAAATCAGACCAACGCCAAGAGATTTCGTCAACAAAGCCGTGAGGCTATTTCCATCTTGTCCAGCCGTGAGGCTCATTGAATCTTTGATAGATAACCGTGGGGAAAGAGTTCGCCCGACCGTCCATCGCGAAGTAAAAGCATGACCACAATATTATGTCATGCCCAATTTCGGCCTCGAGGGACCGTGAGAGCAACAATCGCTCTCGTTGTAAAGCTTCTGGATTGACTTTGTGGCAACCCGCGGTACTGTGAGTTCCCGCTGCCAGGTAGGCTGCCCATCTTCCAGCATGCTTCTTCCAGACGTATTTTGTGCTCCAATAACGGTCGTGTGACCAGATGTTTCTACCAATCCGTTTAAGTGATTTTTTGTTTGCCCTCCTCATAATGTTTGCTTCATTGTACAAACATTTCTTGCTCCCAATTTAATGAGGGAACTCCCCCTGACTTTGCAGTCTTCATTCTTGTGATCTCAACTCCCGAATGGCCCATATCCTCTTGACCACTCAGCTCAGTTAATGCCGATGGCTACGCGAGCTCGAATGCCCGTGTTTCGACGAGGAATGTCCGTGTCTTGAGGATGAGTGATGACTCCTCGAGGAGCTTTGTTCTGACCGTTCCAATTCCCGCTCCATGTTCTGCGCCCGTTGCCGAAAGTCCCTTACAATGTCGCGGATATGTCGAATACGATCGTAGTCGAGCTCGAGTTCGTCAATCTGTTGGATAATACGGTGGTATCGGGCAATCTCGGCATCAGCGTTATCCACTATATTGCCAGCTTGGTCATACACCTGCATCGTGACAATCTGGGACTGTTCGCTGAGGTATTCGAGCCGCTCCTGGATATGTTGCATGAGTCGATCGAAGTGCCGGCCGAGCTGGGCGAGAGAATTGCTGTCGAGTAGAAGCAGACCTTGAGAAGAAGCCCGACTTGCTGCTCGAGACGAATTCGATCCACCAGCTGCTTGCGCCTGCGCTTGGCGCAAGATGTTGATCTCATCTGTGGATAGACCCAGATCCGTGTCCCGCACCGCATTAGTCTGGGTCGAGGACATGGTGATGGGTAATAGGGTGGTGTCGCCGGCGTCGTGAGGAGCTAGCGGGCGAGAAGCTAGACTAGAGAGAAGGATTGAGTCCCTCCAGGGGACGAAGCACCACCGGGATGCGCAATGCGACTGGTTGATCGTAGGGTATTACGGTACGACGGACTCGGAAGCGGAGGACACAATTGCGGGGTAGCCAGGAACGGCGGCGGCGGCGGAGGAGGACGTGGCGAAGGCTTCGGTGTGCACTGGCTTCGACGACGACAACGATGAGTGCGCAGGCGGCGGCGAATGAGACGCGCAGAGCGTCATTGTCCCGAGGCACAGATGGCGGTCATTGCAGCAGGTCCGTAAACGCGGGAGACGGTCGAAGAGGGGATAGAGTATTCGCAATTGAATGCCGCAATTTATATAAGACCTGAGCCGGGCTGGCTCAAAAGACGGCCAGATAAGAAAGAGGGGGGAACGGAGCCCAGGAGAAGGTGGTGGGCAGCCGGAGGAGGGTCAAGAGTTGATGGAGGGACTCTCTTCACTTTCTGGATGGTGATACACGGCGGCAGTGATGCACCAAAGCAACCCACCCTCCACGAGTTCTCTTGCTGGAGATACCCCGAGGCTGGCGGCTCCTCGAAGTCGTGAGTGTGTGTGCGCTCGTCGCTGATGGTCAATGTCTCTTCGGCTAGTCGATTCCCCTTGAGGTCCTGGTGCCGCTTTGGCAATTCACCTGCGACTTCCGCCAACTTCCTGCTCTACCCGGCGGGCTGGTAACACAGGAGCGAATAGAGGAAAAAGGCTTGCGGATAGCGGCAATTGTTGGTTTCTTTTTCCTCCCAGAAGATGCTGCATCAGCTGGTCCAGGAATGGTGCCAAATGCCAGCCGTAGTGTAGATTTGTGAGGCAAAAAGCAATTATATAGCACCCAGGTTAATATTTTTGGCGTCTCGCGGGATTAAATCAATGATTGCACGGACAGCCAGGGGATGGGGAACCTGAAGCTAGAGAGTGAAAATCCAAGGCGATCGAAGCAGGAGGCGAACCAAGTCCGCAAAGCGAAGCTTTGAAGTGTGTGAAGAGCGTGGTGATGTCGTGGTTGTTCCCAAAGCCGTCGGAGAGGAAGAGGTCCATCACTCGGCTAATTGTGGCACGCTTGAATTGAAGAGCTAGGAAACGGAGGATGCGCGGGCCTTGGATTTATAATGAGGGCGCAGAGAAGCAAAGAAGCAAAAGGCCAACGCGCGATGCCCCGGCAATCAAGGAGATTGCTGCGTGAAGGAGCAAGGTTGGATGTGTGATGTGAAGAAGCAAAAGACGGTCTGGAGTCTGAGAGCAGGCCGAAAAGGTTGAAATTGGGATTTTTTCGGTGGCCCTCCCCTCCACCACCGCCACCACCACCACCACCACCACCCCGGAAGGCCCGCCTACACGGCGGCGTCTCGCCAAACCAGACGAGCAATAGGGTTCCTTCCAGCGCAGCCTCTTTCTATACTACCTGAACCTGCTCAGCAGTACGTACAATTAATTCGAGCAGGTGCGTGGGTGGGTTGCTCTTGCTTCCTTGTCCTGGTCGACGGCGATCAGAATCGCGTTACAGACATGCGTACAACTACATCATCTAGCACCATCATCGACTGTTCATCAGGTGTATCTGATACACCAGCCGCCATGATATCATGGGTGCTTCTATCTCTCAACATCCTGGCGGGTCTGGGCACCTAAAGCTGCTTAGCTGTGAGCTCTCGCGTGCGTGCCCTTGCTCAGGACCACGGATCGTCCTATCATGGAGCTCAATCAGCAACACTGTCTCACAGCACAAAAAGCAACACCAAAATCCGGGGAGGGAGACCTGGGTCCCGGTCGATGTGTCGGCGGTGGCGGCGGTTCGCATGACTGTGCACGTTGAAGCGCCCAATCGAAACCCCAAGAGCATCTGAAGGCGCGCGCGGGCGCCCGGCACAGCGAACGGTCCTCCAGCCCTGCCAGGTCTCCGATCATGCAAATCGTTGCCTTTCACCTTGCCGCCTGCAGCTGGCCCCTGCCAGAGATCCCTAACAACCCTCAGCCTCATTGACGATCAGGGCAGCTCTCCTCACATCAATCTGCTGCTGCTTCGCTGCCGGAGACAGACCTTGAGTCTTAAGAGCGCGTCATATTGATGTTAACCGCCAGAGCTAAGAGCGCGTCGCTGAAAGCCAAATTGCGGGCAAGCTGGAGAGCTCGGTACCATTCATAATGAAGTGTGACATCTTGGCTCCAATGTTGGATGTGCCGCCCCCCTAGCGGCAGATCACTATGGTCCCTTGCAGACGCGGCGAACACGGCGTCAAAGCCCATTATACGCAACGCTTTTGTCGACTCCATTTCACGGAGAGCTGAGTGCAAATCATTACAGAACCTTTGAAGACAAAAGCACCAATCTACTGCCGCGTTTGGTTTGCGGCAACCTAGCCCAGAGCGGAGAATGGGGAGGGCGGAGCCACGCGCTCCGGGCCGCCATCGAACTCCATCCATCCCGTCCTGTTTGCGGGTCCCGGAGAGCCGTTAGCTCGTTGTTCGATATCATCAATGGCATCTATCCACTTCCGCTTCCCCAAAGCCATCTCCAAATCATCGTGTGCCATGACTCTTCCTGCAGGAACTACTGGGCGCTGCTGCAATATTGCAACCCAAGTCGAGAGGCTTTTGGAGAACCCGGTTGCTCGCCGCGCGTCTCCTCACTCGCATGGAAGCCGTGTCCGACTGAGCGGTCTGTCCAAGATCGCACAAAGTTGGGGTCATGAACAATTGGGCAAGTATATCACGCCAACGAATTAGCCTGCATATGGAAGCAGTGTAAGTGCAACTCGGAAATTTGCAAGTAGTCAGCACACACGAATTTCCCATCAATTCGGAGCATAGACAACTACTATCCCTGGCCAAGTCAAGGTACCATGAAGCAAGTGTCCTTCAATTCCCAGTCGCTATGTAGTATTTAATGTGCGGAGGGCATGCTTTCCTATTCCATGCCTCTTTTCTGTATTCATTCTGCCTTTTATCGGTTTAAGCCAGTCGCTAAACACACTTCATCATGCTTGGGTTGAATCTAGTCTTTGGCCTAGGCCTACTGTCTATTGTCTATGGTGCATTCCATGAGAAGAAATTCCTCCATGATATTCACGAGAGAACCATACTTGAAAACGGACACGTGAGAGAGACGAACTATGCAGACACCAAGATTGATCTTTCTACATATGATTTCACGACTTATCCAAATAACGCAAGTGAGATTTCGTACAAGGGTCGCTGGGACTCTAAGAAAGTATCTTGGTGGGCGTGAGTAAATTTGAGCACAGTGCTTTGAAGAATATCGAGGAGTAATTCATTGTCAGCGCTCCTGGCGTCAAGTTCGGGTATACAGGAGAACAGGTCGCCATCACATTCGGCAACTACACGAGCCAAGGGGTATTGGTAGCATACCGCATCGGCGGCCTCGATTGGTCATTCACCAACATCACGACCAGTGCTACTCATCTGTTCGTGACCACTGATACGCCGGGCTCTAACTTGACATGGCCAATTAATCCAATGACCTTCGAGCTGCGAGTCACCAATTGGGCCTACGGTATACAAATTGACTCGGTTCATGTTGCATCTGGAGAGAAGCTTGTCAAAATTCCAGACTATGGAAGAAATGTTGAGTTCATTGGCGACAGTTTGACATCTGGGATGTATACAACCTACGAGGCATTCAGTGGTTTTGGATATGGAATTGGCGCCGGCCTTGGGAATACCGAGTTCAGCATCACTGCGTATCCAGGCATTTGCACTACAGATCAGGATTGTTGGGGCAATCCAAGAGGACAAGTCCATCAATGGTTCTATACTTCTGATACCAGCTGGCGCGCGCAGCAGATGTATGGAGGTAAGTGGCGATTTCATTTCGTGCAATTGACGTCGCGATGGAGGGTAAATGGGAAGAAATGCTCCCCCCATCTCCGGAACCGAGGAAGATAATACACAACTGGCACGTCAGAAAGGTCTTCCTCAAGATATTCAATGTACCGGGAAATCGTTTGAACATCATTTCAGGCGAATTACACTAGCACGGAGAAGTTTATTCAACGGGAGGGTTTTGTACTAAATGAGATCCAGATAGCCCCGAGCCCTGGAATTTCACGAATCAACAGCCTGCAGATATCGTTGTCATCAACATTGGTACGAACGACCAGAATGCATACAACAATGTCACCGTCGAAGCATATGTTGATGCCCTTACCAAGTTGATACAAGGGGTTCATGGTGTTTGGCCAAAGGCACAAGTGGTCTTGATGGTATGCATGAAATCATATATCTCTCCCACTTTCACTGGATTACAAGAATGTTGGCTGACACTTGTGTCTGTGTCTTAGTCTCTATGGCTAGGCTTCTGGCAAAATGGCAATACTTTCTCGGACAGCTCTGCTGACGGTTTCCGTACGGAAATATATGATATTGTGCAATATTTCAACTCACCAGAATATCTGAACAATCCAATTGTCTACGACGGCACCACCAACAAGACCCGCAAAGCATGCAACAAGTCAGAGCCGTTCGTACATTACTTCAATACCACGGGCATCTTGCAGCACAACGACATTGGTCCGCAATGGCACCCTACCGATGTAGGGGCAATCAAAGTTGCAAGCCATATCATCCAGTTCCTAAAGTTGAAGTTCGATTGGTTGCTCTACGCTACCGGACCAGAGTATGTTACGCCTCGAGGTATGCCCTAAATCTACAGACTAACGCAGGGATTAGGGTTCAACATGACACTTTATATTGGAACGACGAGCCCAACTACTGAAGCATGGTTGACATCGGACGAAGAGAGGTACTTGACAAGAACTCAAAGATACAAATGGGAACTTATGTGTAATGAGATGACCTACATGACAGGGGATGTTAAGAGACGTTCGTAATGACAATGACAAGCCGTCGTCCTATTGTTGAAACAGCCTCGCTTGCAGACGCAGTCTATAGACGATAGCACTTATCATACGCATCATGTGAATGCCCTCAGAAAGACCGGTTGAAACAAAACAAGACCCTGCTGTTCCTGCTTTACCATCAAACTAACCACACCAGAAACAGACTCGAGCTATCGTCCCAATCAGAAATGTCAACATGCGAACCATTATCAGCCCAGACAGCTGTCTTATCGACTCAAAGCATGACGTCTACAAACATCAGTCCAAACGGACGGGTCTCCTCAGACGCCTTCAAGTAACCTATCACAAGCATTGTTCACCAGTCGTGGGACACCTACCCGGCGGAGGGGTCAAGCAAGGCCAAGCTTTAGAGCTGCCAACGATCAGAACGCATCATTCATGCAAGTCGTGCCGAACCAGGACCTGCCGCAATCTGGTCAGGGCTTGATGTTTCGTAGATCGTCTGGTTGCTTGAGTGTTGCTATTCTTGGCCTCTCGGACGCGGGGCCTTCCGGTCTGATGGTGCCGTCTGAGCAACCCTGCCACGAGGATGCCGCGGGTGGTGCAACTCTGTGCCTCCTCACCAGCCCTACTGTGGTATGTGACTTGGTGAACAGAGTGGTGGCGAAATTGCTGGGTGGAGAGGAGGTTGGTCCTAGGTTGAGTCACTTGAACTAATAACAGTCTGGTCGAGAGCCCATGTAAAGACCGATGTTCATCCGCAGACCATCTGAACTGCACTGGGATCAATTGAGCAAAACTCAAGAGCCAACGCAAAGGCCACCTCAACTACCGACGCCAGCGTTCCATCTTCGACAGGGAAAGCCAGCCAACAGGGCTGAAAGATGGTTTCCGGATCGACTGAACTCCGGAGCCTCCTGACGTTTGACGTCGAGCCAGGGCTGTCAAGGTACGAAACAAGGGACTAGACCAGGTGACAAGCCAGGCAGGCCTCTTCCCTGCGACTGAGCTTGATGGCCGAGCATGTTTCTGAAGGCATTGTCAAGACCTGCGCCATTGCCCGGACGTTGTTATGTTCACCGTTTCGCCTTTTGGAATTCGAGAGGCGGGGACGGCTGTTGTTCTCCATTGAGTAGCAAGCCGCTGGAAGGACTCTGTCGCAGTGTCGCACTTGCACACCGCCATCCGTGCGAGCTATCTGAGCGGCACGAGACCAGTAAGCTTAAACAACAACGAGCCCTAGTCAGGCATTGCTCTCTTTTGTTTCATTCCACGGCTTGTGGGCGTTGCAATGTCACCATTCTCCCACAACGGAAACAATCGATGAGAGTAGCAGTAACTAAGGCAACCGTGCGACCTCAGCACAGTCAAAGACGTATGACGAAGAGTAGTGGAAACTGAGCAGCACAGAGCGCCGCCAAGCGGACAATGACTTAGTTTGTGACGTTAGTGCTCACGGTTAGAAGGCGTTGGACATGCGGCTTGCACGCCATCGCACATTCTTCAGAACTATTGAAGTGTGCTGCAATGTCTCAGAGCAAAGAGGGCCCCTACGCCACCTGCGCAGCAGATGGGGAGTTTCTTCCATTCCTTCCAACGCCACAGCAACTTTGTTCGTGATCAGCGTGGTGTTAAAGCCACTTTACTGCAAATAGTGTGCAGCTCGGGGGGCGCCCACGAGCTAACAAACATACCTGCGCCAGGATCTAGCCCAGGGCGGGTTGACTGCAATGACGAAGGGGGCATGGTTCCAGCCACTTGAAACAGGGTCGTCGTCACAGATCGACAATAGCTCTGCACGCCAAATGTCTATCACCCGCAGGGCCGCCGCCCTTCCCTCTTTTGCAAGGGCCCCATTGGGGACGCCCTGGGGGCCTTGCAGTTTCTTGGTCACCTCAGGTCAGGTAAGTAACTACCTGTGCAGTGACTAGGCCGCTCCAGTGATAGCCGCAAGGGGCTAAAGAGCCGCCGTCCATGTCGCTTGGACGATCGCAACTGGCGGGCGCTAGATGGCGGTGCTAACGGCTGTGAACGACGCCCATCTCTCCACTTGCCGTCTGTAATAAACATGAGCCCAAACGTGGTAGACCCGCGCGCCGTCGCAACGACAGACCAGACCATCGAGGGAGCGAGCGGCCGATCAGGGCAAACGAGGAGTTAGTGAGGACTCAGGAGAGGGGCTCGGGCTCCCTTCTCCTCTTCCTCTCCATTGTCCGAGACAAGGGCGCAGTCGAAGCATCGCGCTGAGCTACTCTGGGAACTGAACGTTAACGAAATGACGAGGCTCCGTCCAGGACCATCGCACCTAAGACATTCGACGCTGGTTCCTCCGCCCTACACCGTAAGCACGCTGGCCGGTCCCCGCATTTCATTTACCAGCAAATGCAACAACAACACCAAAACTACCGTGTAGGCTTCTAGGGCAGGGGTTAGAACAATCATCAGAGAGCCCCGCAGGAGGTCCGCCGGTAGTTTAAGAAGATATGGGCAACGGGAGATTGGAAACATGGAAGCATGCCAGTTGCCAGCTCCATACAGACAGAAGAAGCCCACCCAATCAACCAACCAACCAACCCTCTTGCATGGGTTGTAAGCGAGGAACGAGACACATTGATAGAAACCCACTCACTGCTGAAATATGGAAGGGATTTGAAAGCTGGTCCCGGCGCCGGGGAGGGGGCCCTGTGACGCTCAGGGCAAGCCCGGAGACAGGCCCCAAAATAGGCTTTTTGAGTTGCTGATCGTGTCGATCTGGTCGTCCGGGGAGGCCCCGGGCGTGCGAGGGTACCAGAGGGTCCCATTCGGAGGGTTCGATGATGCTCTGCAGGGATCCGGTGTAAGGAGCCGTTTCCAGCGTCCGAGCGCTCTACGCAGTAACCGAGAACGAGAGTGGGTTCCAAGCAAGCATTGCAGTGTGCAGATGAAGTGTGCAGATGCGGTACAGCAAAGCATAGCACAGCACCCGAGGGGAGGGGTTCTCGCTTCGACGTGTTGGAGTCTCATGACAGCTCTTCACCAGACCTAAACAGATGAGTCTGAAAGCCCAGAGCCCAAGCAGGAAGCTATCGGCTCGGGATGCAGCTCTTACCGCAGCTTATTGCGAAGTATGTGGTGAGCCATTGGCCCATTTTCCCTCTGCATTACGTTGTGTTGTGTTGTGAAAAGAATGCTGGGCCCCTTTCATCAATGCGCCTGAATTGTCCCCGTCTCATCTGATCTCGTGCAAGACCAAGACAAGACCAGCAGTAGCAGCTCTGGGGCTCGCGCTCGCTCTATTTTTGGTGGTAGACTCAGTGGGGAATGTGTGGCGTGCAACGTCTGTGTTAACCGACAGTTGAGCGTTGAGATGAAACAGTAGACTTGATATGACAGCCACTGTGTCTCTCGGTAATTTTGTCAAGGAAACCGCGCACATTCCAGCGGCCATGTTTCCTCGTGTGTGGAGACCAGCACCTCGTGGATGTCTGTTGATGATGTTGTTGATGCAGGAAACATCCTCATGGCTCGGACTTACCACCATTCTTCCGCTGTGGAAAAGCGATGGCCCAGTTTTCCCACAGCACATCCCATCTGCGAGATGCACGTCCTCTGCCGGATTCATGCAGCCAGATTGTGCAAATGCAGGTCGCGGGCAGGTTTCTCTATTCATAAGTTCCAGGTTTCTGACGACTGCGGCGACCCGCTGCCAACACCGGCTATGTGCGCGCGAGTCAGGATAGGACCTGCAGCTAGCAGGATCGAGGGTCCTCGGGAGGGACACTCAATCTGGGTCCCCTCTTTCGATCCATCGGCGACGGATGCAGAACCCGTTGCGAGGCCGTACATGAATAGCCTCGTAATCAGCCATCCTCACATGTGTGTGCGTGCGTGCGTGCGTGTTGCTGTTGCTACTGTGGAGGCGGCGGCCGGCAGCCGATGATAACAGTGGAGCGGCGCTACTTGAGGATGTAGTATGTGGCTTCTTTGCTGCGAGCAGCTTTGTAATGTGGAAATGGGGTCATGTATTTCACTCGTTCTGTGGCTCATCACCGTTCTCCGCCCTCTGTAGAAACAACGACGAGCTTTGCCTTTGCCTGATTTAGCGCGGGAACCCGCAGGAAAGAAGCAATATTGAGGGCTAGCAAAGGACGCCGTGCTGGCCCCAAAGTGAGACAGCCATGAGCCACCAGAACAAGACTGGCTTAACGGGCCACTAGGAACTTGAGGGGGAAGAGGGAGTTGAGTTGGAATGGAAATGAGGCAAGAAAAAGCAAATAGTGCCACGCGGGCTCCAAGGCATCGAAGGAGGAACCGTCTCCACCGTCGAAACCATTAGTTCCATCACACTATGTCAACCTCACTCATTGCCGCATACAGAAGCGTACGCTCTTTGCGAAAGTACTCGCCGCTGGGCCTTCGCTATTTGCTCCCAACGACCGTTCGAAAAGACCCGGCCCCGCGCAAGCTCAGAAGTGTTGTGTCTTTTGTCTCTTCGCCAACGGTGGTTCCCGGCTCTTGAAGGGCGAACTAGAGCAGTATCTAAGACAGCACTTACACAATAGTCATGTCCCGGCCTGTTATACTACTCCGAACCGTTCACAACCTGACGTATGCACAAGAAACGGTAATAACTCTATTGCCACTCCTGAACTCAGTCAACGCCCGTTGAGGCTCAAGATCAATGCTACTCGTGCAACTCTCTGGCCCCCTGCCTTAGGCAATCTCACCGTTTAATAAATTCTCCTTTCATCCATGTAAGCCAGACTTCAGCTGTTGACAGGGGGGTCGTGTACACTTTACAGACCCCCACCCCCCGGCAGCTGGGAATTCCAAGCTTCCAACGGCGGCGGGTGGGCGACGGGTGGCCGGTGGTCTTGTTCTGTACAAGGAAAGGATGGGATGTGAAGCAAGCTCACTGGTTCCCAGTCGCAATTCT